GAAGTGCAAACACTCCTTAAGAAGGATCCCAAAATGTATATGCTGTTTATCTAGGGTGAGGTTGAGGTGGGTGCAGTACCAATAAAAAGTAGGGCTGGGCACGGGCCGGGTCGGGGCGGGTAATACAAAATAAAATGGAACCGCCGGTTCCATTGTACAGTTCGGTCCGGTCCGGGTATTACAATTTTCAAAATAGGAACCGGAAATTACCCGGCCCGTTTGAAACGGGTCGGTCCGGTCCGGGTTTTACAGTTTCTATTCTCATGTCTTGAAATTAGTAAAAACTCACGAAGTTCCAAAAATCAATAATCAACAATATAGGACATTAGCAAGTTTCAAAATAACAACATAGTGGTGCATATATAACACAAGTGAAAAGTCCAATACTCCATATTTTCTTGTATATAAGTTTCAAACAATTAAAGAAATTCCAAAAATATGCAACATAGCCAAAATACATATTTTCTAACATTTGTATTTAAACATGTTGTCTAACATCACTTATTTAAGTGATTGCTTTTTTTTATATTAAATTTTCAGTATTAGCCAAAGTTGACACATACATGGTGGGTGGTAAACACAATTTATATGTTTTAATAACAATATAACAAAAAAATATAACAAAATCGTCTTTAACAAATAATTAAATTCGATAGAAAGGAATAATTCAATAACAATAAAAAGTAAAAAGATATTTATGAAACATTTAATCAATAATTTGAAAACAAAAGGATATTACTGCAACTCAATTTAAAATCCTACTTCTAGCACAGGAAACAAAACTATTTCAAAATCGATTATCAAAAAACTATTAATAAATTAATATACAATATATTTTACGGGCCGGGCCGGGTACCCGTTATTTTTTAATTTTGGAACCGGTCCGGTTCCTTAAAAAAAATTACCCGACCCTAACCGGACCGTTTTATGGAAACAAAAAATGGAACCGGCCCGTTTTGGACCCGAACCGCCATTACCCGGACCGGACCGCGGTTCCAAGAACCGTTTGCCCACCCCTAATAAAAAGAGTGCTTAATGTGAAGAAATGAATATTTTCACTTTACTTTAGTACACTGCACATTTCATTTCCCGGCCCGGCCAAAAGACTACACTTTTTCACAAAAACTTTCACTTATTTATGAAAATTTCATCACATTTTAACATAATTTAATTTGCTGCACTGTTCGCACTTTTGGAGCCATTAGATCGCACGAAAATTATTCTCATTTTTCATATTAATTAACAATTATTCAAAATCTATCTCACCCTTTATTAAATATTACGTAGTATATGGAATGCATTTTTGAGGAAAATATGTTGGGAAGACTCTTCAAATAACTTACACGGAACAAAATATGCAAAATTGCAATCTATCACGTACATGTGATTAATTAATTGCACGGTACAATCAATTAATTGCATATTTATGATTTACGCTACTCCGAACGGTTTTGATGGCAAGTTGCAACCAGCTAGCTAGCGACGTTTTATTGTGTAAGTATAAGTAATACGTGCTACAGTATTTTGGTCAAGTTTGTTTAATTTGTAAATTCGTTAAATACTTAAATTCATTTAAAAACTACCCTCAATGAAGTACTGAGTTTTTTTTGAAAGAAGTACTAAGTTCTTTTCCAAATATGTATAATTATCATATCCAAATTCCAATAATATTGTCAAAAGTATTTCTCCAATGACCAGTGTCCAATGACCTTAGTGTCCTGCCATATTGAAGTCTGATAATGTGAAAAGTATGATTTCAATCGGATGACAATACTTTAATTAAGCTTGATTTTTTGTGCATAAGGTTTATAATATCTTTATACTTGGACCTTAAATAAATACAAGTAATCCACTTATTCGACTATACCACATTACCACCAAAAAAGTAACCCACATATTGTTGTAAGAGATGTTATGTATTGGTTTTATAAATGTAAATGCATAAAAAATAAAATAAAAGACTCTTTTTATAAACAAAGAATACTTCAATGTGAAGGAAGGAAAAAACAACTCAGGTGGCCTAGAACGAGCCGAGCTAATGGAAATTTTGGTATCCCTTGACCCATTTATGAATATGTGCATAGAATTAGAATGTTTTTAATTTGGTTAGAGTTTTTGTCTTGTCCAGAGTGGTCTATTGAAATTTGATCTGATTTAGTATTAATCAGTCTTGTCTAGTATGATAGTTTTATGCTGTATGGTTTAGTCTGAATTGTTTAAATATGTTCTTGTCTGATCTAACATACTATCCTCCGTCTCTTTTTAATCGCAACATGTTGAATTTTACACTATTCACATATTCTACTTTGACTACATTTTATATTATTATTTTATGAAAATTATTTTTTTAAAATTATATTGTTCAATTCATCTCATTGCAAATTTTCAAAATCTAATTTTTAAATATTTTTTTACTAATAGGGATTAAGATATAATTACGGTCAAAGATATGCGTTGGCAAGTGTGAAGTGTTGACCGTTGCAACTAAAAAAGAACGGAGAAAGTATATAGGATTGAAACCATTCCAATTAAAAGGATTGTTAAAGTTCAGAACATGGTTCGTTTATAGAGGACTGCAAATCCCTACTAGTAACAAAAATCAATTTTAAAGTTGTTTTCACTAAGACAAAAAGCAAATAGGGGCGGCACATCTGTGAAAAGATAACGCAGGTGTCCTAAGATGAGCTCAACGAGAACAGAAATCTCGTGTGGAACAGAAGGGTAAAAGCTCGTTTGATTCTGATTTTCCAGCTAGGAAGTCTATTAATTATGCTTGTCGTACGATCTTTAATCATGTTCCGTCTTGTATTTTGGATATTCTTAATGAAAAAATGAATTAAAGTCTATATTTCAAAAAAAAAAGTACAGGCCAACGCACAAATTTGTAAGTTTACAATTAAATAATACGGAGTAATACATAACACGTATTAGAAGTTGTAGAAACAAACAATTTACAACTTTTTTGTAGACAACGTTTTGTTATCTTTTTTAGTTTTTCATCATGCATTCCATAGCTTATACGGAGTAGCGTTTTTGTTTTAGTCCATCAATCATAACAATGGTTTGACAACGAGGCAATCGTCATTAAAAGAGTAGCTTTAATTTATAGGGATATCTGAACTCAATTATGACTAGTTTTAAATTATTTTAGTAGCGCTATGCTACTCACTACTCCGATTAATTTTTGTCTAGGTGCTGGAGTTAGAGAATGACTATTAGAAGGATGAAAATAAAAAAAAAAGTAAATTTACAAGCATTTAAAAAAATACACCGTGGTACGTATGACATAGTTGTTGGAACTAACAACATATTTAATTTAAACCTTAGCTTACCAAAAAAACAAAAACATACGGAGTATTTAAACCTCATACTCGTATTATTTACACAATATTGCAATAGAAATTAGTAATAAGAGTCTCAATAAATCAATAATGTTTTTATTTGAATTGAACTATTTTCAATCACATATCAGCTCAAACACTCAGAACATACATACCAGATCAAACATAAAAATATTAAGTCAGACTAGACTAAACTTAACTAGACTTAAACAAATCAGACCAGATCAGACTAGAAAGTCAATACTTTTGTTCTAAAATAGTCATGGTTTTAGTATTCCAATACACATATTTTGTACTAATAATATCTCAAATTTCCCATTATCGGCATTTCCTATAATGGATATTTTTGTCCATTGAGCATAAATGTGATGCATTCATCGTTAATATATGTTATAGAAGTAAACACAAGTCCTTTTCCAATGTTATCAGTATTTAGACTCTTTGAAATGTCAATTTAGAAAGAAAAGGAATTGAACATACAAGACGATCCACACGGTTAGGTCTGGGATTGATTCGATTCCTAGGCAAAATAGATAGAACCGTTTAAAAAATATCAAATCTTAATAATGGTTCGGTTCTAATAATTTTTTTATAGATCCGATATGGAACATAACTATTCTTAATGGTTCGGTTATTGTCATTTAACGGTTCCTAGTTTTTTTTTTTAAAAAAAATCTTACAAATCACCGTTAAATTTGTCTAAAAAACATTCAACGTTAGAAAGTACAAGAAATATAAATATGTTTACCATCATTTCAGAACTCAAAAGTTGAGTTTAAAACATTAATACTCCGTACATACCAAACTGAAAATTTCTGTAAATAAAACAAAAGAAAAAATTCACTACAATCAATAATTATGATCTTGAACCAACAACGCATTTAGCTAGCAAATAAGTTCATTCTTCTAAAGGATCACGAGCAATGCACTCAATTCCGACCATCTAGACCTCTAAGAGGCCTAAGAGTCATTTTATTTGCAAATACTAAAAAAAGCGCTTCCCAACTTTTGGCTTAAAAAAGTTAAAAAAGAGTGTTTTAAAGTGACAACTTCTACTTAAATTAAGACTTAAAAGCTAAAAGTTAGAATCTCCATTTTACTTTTTCTATTACACAAAAAACACTTATTTTACCAAACAGTGCCAACTTTTACTTTTCAAAATCATTTTTTTTCAAACACTACCAACTTTTACTATTAATCACTTTTTTCCCAAATCACTTTAAAAAGTTCAAAAGCATTTGTGAGTAGTGTTTGCAAACAAAGCCTTATAAGAATCGGTTAAAATAAATAATAATGTGAAATACTTAAATAATTAAACTAAAATAGTCAGTTTAATATGAAAATAAATAACTAAATATGCATTACAATATACACCCTCCGTCCCAAAAAGATTGGCCAATTTAACTTTTCTTGGCCAATGGTGTTAAAATTTTGACAAAGATTTTACGTACTCCGTATTATATTTGTGTGTAATTTATAAATTTTATACTTTTATGAAAGATTTTTTAATGAAGAATAAGCTCATATAATTTTCATATTTTAAATAATTTTGTATTAAAAAATATCACCAAATATACAAAAAAAAAAAAGTCAGTCAATCTTTTTAGAATGGAGGGAGTATTGAATAGACTTTGTATTAAAGCTATTTTGATCATGACCCGCCAGTTCTCACCTTCTCTGGATCCATTATACTTGATTGGCAGCTAGCTTAGCTACCAAATAGCAATCTATGGCTTCAGCTACGTTTACAATTTCATGCACCGCCGCCACCATCCCCGCCTCCCATCTTCAAAAACCTTCAAAGTTCTTACTAAACCAAAACCCGCCCAAGCACCGCCGCAGCAAACTCCCATGTACTGCTTCCTCGTCAAAGGATCAAAACCCGCCGCCGGAAAGGAGCATCTCTCCGAACACCACGCTTGACCGGAGAGATGTCCTCTTGGGTCTTAGCGGCCTCTACGGCGCCTACAACCTATCCCTCTCCGGCGGCGGCGCCGAGGCTAGTCCGGTCCTGGCCCCGGATATTACCAAGTGCGGCCCGGCAACCATTACCTCGAGCACCGACAAAGTGCCCTATTCTTGTTGCCCTCAGGCCTTCTCCGGCACCATAGCTGACTACAAGCTCCCGGAGTTCTCCACTCTGAACGTCCGGCCGGCGGCCCACGACATAGACGAGGAGTACTTGGAGAAGTACAAGACAGCCGTTCGGAAAATGAAGGAACTCCCGGAAGATGATCCCCGGAATTTTTACCAGCAAGCCAACGTCCACTGCGCTTACTGTAACGGCGCCTATACACTTGCCGGCGGTCAGGAATATCAAGTCCACTTCTCATGGCTATTCTTCCCCTTCCATAGATGGTATGTTTACCTATACGATCGATCATTTAAAGCTTACCGAGCATACTATAAAGGGAGTACTACAAATGTTTCGACTTTTGACAAGTGAACAGGGGAGCTTATTAAAAAGATTTAAAAAAATCCAAATATAGCATTATTTTTTGAAAAATACCATCGTACTTGTAATAATTGTGGCTCTCCATCAAAATTACTAAAGGGAAAGCCGTAAATACACTTTAACTTTTAGGTGTAGGTACCAGTACAACTGTACAAGTGGAGATCTGCCAATTTTTGGAAGGGTCAAAATACCCTTCAATGTTTCTTGATGAGTGATTAGTTCTTATATATCGATTTTAAATAAATAACAAATGCAACCACAAATCTAAAAAACACCAATTCAAAAACAGTTCAAAATTTATTGACTTGTGTTGAAAATGGAAATCTTAAAGAGTAAATTTTGCATATAGGATCCGTACGTTTGCACAAATAGGGCCAAAAAACTAAACTATGTTTCATAGGACTAATTATGTGTGTTTTGGACAATTATACCTTTGTAGCTATTGAAATGTTTTAATTCATAATAAAATCATAAAAAAATTAAAATTCGTAAAAAATACTAAATAAATAATAAAAATATTTAAATAATGGTTTGTTTGTTTGTTTTAATGGTTTGTTTGTTTGGGAATTAACGAAAGTTATTACTGATTCAATTTTTAGTTAATCTCGTTTGTTTGTATTTTTCCAAGAATAATTTAGGTTATTAATAAATTTGAGTTAACCTCACATAACTCTCGAGAACCTGGAAAAATTGAAGAACCTCCGAAATGGGGGGTTTTGGAGGTTAAGTTCTCGTATAACATAAAATGAGCTAAAGTACTTTCATCCAAACAAAATTTATTACATTAATAATCTAGGTTCACCTTGTTTAATTTATTTTCAAACAATATTTTACGCATGGAGGAAGCAGTCCAGCACAGCTGGTCGCCGACTCACTCTCCCTTACGGAGGTCTCGGGTTTGAAACTCAATGGAGTGAGTTTCAGCCTCAATTACTCCAGGCCCCACTACAAGAATTTTGACAAAATATGACAAAAAAAGTTGTCATATAAACTTCAAATTTTGTCACAAAAACTTTTTTATGACAAATTATGATCGTCACAGTGATCGTCATTGTAGCTCCGTGGTAAAAAGTATAATATGACAAATTTCGAATTCGTCATTATATAGCAATTTTTGTGACACTTTTGCTCTTTGTCACGCTTTCTCTTCACTTTTAGTGACGCCAAATTTGTCACTTTTATATCATTATTTTTGTCATCTAAATATGAATTTCGTCACCAATAACTATTGCCATAAGTGACAATTTTTTTTAATTGACACCAAAATGCATATTATAGTGACAATTCACTTGATTACAGCCCAACATAAGTTAATTAGAGGGACACCAAGATTATCATATTTAAATTACTTATTTTGTCATTAATGATGGTTGTTTTAGTTACAATTGTTTTGACAGATAAGTTTTAACAATAAGCGATTAGTCATCATCATTATGCAAAAATTTGCCCCCTTTCAAAATATATATATATGATTAAATATGTATCACAATTTCACAATTAACTACTTAGCTACATACATATCTAGCAACAAATATATCATTGCCACCGGCCCACAGGGTGAATGCAAATCTATCTGTAAGGCATATATTAACACAAATATCATCACTGCTATTTCATGACCTGTCTTTACAGCTCAAATAGTCTAAAACAAGTCTATTTTACAGAAACTGTAGATTACATAGATGGTTTTTATAACTATGAACATCATTTTACAACCTTATAAAAGAATACAACATGGTAATGTGCAAACAACTTTAATTTAAGTCAAGCCTAGTTGAGATGACAAAAACATCATCCTAGGGTGGAGATAACAGACTCAGCTCCAGCTCCTCAATACCGAATGATTAACGTCTTTATTGGGTCATCTTCTTAACGGGCAGAAGTTACTAGAATGAAAGACTTCCAAAGCAATCCTCTGATTTTAAAGAATACAAGATGTATTTGCAGTGTTTGACTTCAGAAAAGGAAACCTGCCATTTCTAAATTACAGCACAAAACAAAGAAAAGCAAAACAAACATGAGTGTTCATAGCAACATCAGTTCCAAGTGTTAGCTGCATTACAGAAAACGTGAGCACGGAAGAAGACTCGATAATTACAAAGCAGCATAAAAAGTAACAAGAATCAGTTAGATTGCTACCAAATATAAATTGCTTAATAATTTCTCATTCAGTGAACCAGAAGACTAAACATGATATTTCTTGCAGCAATTAAGTCATCTAAGATCATAAAACTTCGCAAGTCTGTCATTTCTCATCTGCTTTTAACTTTTACAGAATTCAATGTCCCTTGAGCATTTTTGTAGTGTTACTATTAGCTAGTAATTTCTCATATGGAAATGTTGCTGCTTAGCATTAGGCTTTACACAATAAAAGGCTAGTAACTCACATGGGATCTATAGTACAGCCATATATCTATAGTGACTATAACCTGTGAATAGATTATAAAGGCATTAGAATAAATTTGCTTCTATCATAAACTCACATTAAGATGGATCACAATCTATTCACATGTCACTATAACTAGATTACAGGGGCATACCTGCATGCTGAGGGCTTTAGAGAATCAGAGAAAATTTGTTGCATTTTAAGGTTACATATGTTTTAAGGCAAAAGATAAGTAGATACAATAAAATATGAATAAACTTTTCTCATACTTCCATTGGGATACTAGCAAGTGCCTTCAAGTTAGCCAATCATAAAAACTATGAGAAAGAAACTCACATACTTGATTTCTTTTCTCGTACTCGCCCGTTTTCTGTAATCATCTAAAGTTGAAACCAAAAGTTAAATAAAAAATAAATCTTATAGCAGAAAAATATATGAGTACAAAAAACACAAAGGGAATGGGAGAAAATAGACGAAAGAAGATAACCAGTCCATTCCTTTTTGTCGAATACTGCTGTGTTGGGTTAATTCAATCAACAACCATACGATAAGACAATAAATCATCCAATTTACATACAATTTAGACAATAGACCACCCAATTAGAGCTACTATGCTATTGAGATAGATTTTTCACCAGAATGAATAAAATGATTGACAAACCAATACCAGCTATAAAACAACATTAACCTGTTCGAGATCTTCAGTTAAATGATTAGCAGTTTGAATCACAGTTGCCCGGTTTCGGACCTTTAAAGTCGCACCACGGATTGCATTGCGATTTGCACCGCTGGTCGTGGTGTTGGTCAGTCCCTGACAATGACTTCATTACCTAGAGAATAAGATGACATGTTCTCAAATTCAAAAAAAAAAAAAAATCAATTACAAATTAACACAATTACCTGATTTTTATTTTCAGTTTGATATCAACCTTCCTGCTGTTCATCAATGTGAGAAATGAAACACATATTCATACACAGAGGCATTTTTAGGAAGCTTAGGTTTCTGAATATGTATAGCAATGACACATTAGGCATACAAAAACAATGACAACATTAAGGGCTGGGAATTTTTCATCCAATCGGTCTAGGACTTCAAACCTAGATGACGCCCTGGTGACTCTAGTCCCAGAGGACTCACCTATCCTTCTTCCTCACCATTCGGACCTTTCCTAAGCACCCGTTTTATGTATCTCCACCCCCAAAGTTTGATGTGTATGGTTCACAACCAGTCAACTATAAAAACTATTTACATCCCGGTGAATGTCAACCCATCCATAGTTATGAAAATTCAGATAATATAACAAGGAAGTCTGAAGTACGTCTTGAACAGTACCCGTGCTCGTAACACTCCAGCCCCAACGTCCCCCTGTCCAGCGCACGGTTGGGGAGCACGTCTTGAGACGGAGAACCCGAGACCACAATTCAAATCCGGATTCAATCGTCAATTTGGAAGAAAAGAAACTTGCGACGTGAATGGTAAAAATTGTGATTCATCTTCTCGATTTTTATTTCTCGATCGTCCAACTCCTTTCTAATCCAAATATAAGGCCGAACATGAGTTTAATGATGAGGTACGACTAAGAATAGCAAAATATGTACCGAGCCAAAACACCCAAATCCCTGGATTCGAAGTCTCCATTGCTGAGCCTGGGTTTAACTGTTTAAGTTCCTAAGAAGTTAAAACTCTCAAGTTTTTCTTTTTCTCGGTTCAGGCTTCAAGAGTTGGTCCTCTTGTATGAATGGAACGAGGCTGGGGGCGTTAGGGTTTTTGCAACATTTTTTTATAAGTTTTTCATTTAATATTAGTAATACTTAATTATTCTTTTTTGATCATCAATACTTAATTATTCTTATATTATTCTACTTTATTATTATTACTTTCTCGATTTTTTCAATGGGTACAAAAGTGAGTATAAAAGTGAATATAAACAGTTTTTGTGTTCCAATAAACATAATAGAATATTGCTACTATTATACACTTAAATTTGTTAGAAACTTATTGTAACAAACGAAAGAGTACAAATGAAATATATTTATTATTCTAAGCATAATGTAAGTAATACTACTTCTGTAACACCGTCCCCAAAAAGTACTTACTTTTAAGTGAATAATGTATTGAACTTATGGAGTGGTTAACGAGTATACGAAGTTGTGAATTTTCATTAATTATTTTGCGTGAATGGTAAATTCGCACGTGGGGCCCACACCGGGAGCGGAGGCCGCCCGATATTCCCGAGTCCGTACATTTTATTCATCTGGGTCAATATAATATTTATATGGTGGTGTATAACTCATTGGTCCAAAGAGATGATATAGAGTTGACCGGTTGATCAAAAAAGGCCAAAATACCGGTACTAGTAATTTAACCGATAAAAGCCCGAAATTGAATTTCGGGGACTTATAAATTAAAGTTGGGGTATGAATATTCATCATAAGAGTCATAATGATGGAAATCACATAATATATTTTATTTGACCCGATAAAATAAAATACAGTTAAAACAGTCCGAAAAATACA